TTCTTACAGAGTTCCTGCCCTAACCAAATAAGTCAGACGTTTCAAATTGTATTCATCTAACTCCTTCATCATAGTTTAATTAGTCTAACAAAGTTAAGTCGGGTCCTCTGGATGGATAAAAAAATAAAAAATAAAAATGTTGAAACGTTTTGTCTTTTACCCAAAAGACTTGGTCAGTCTGAGGATCTGCAGTAAACTCAGTCTGTTTTTTTTTTTTCTCATAGTGGATCAAGCAGTTTGCATCCAGAACTAGCTGTTCACATGCTAAAAGAGGACCATCAGTCTACAGTTAGTGCCCTGATGGCCGCTTGCTATTCACAGGGGGCTGAGTGATACAACAACAGCATTGTAAGAGGGGGACAGTTGGACACGGAGGCCTCTGCCCCTGTTTAATGATGGGTGGGTTCACAAAGATGGCTTCCATCACTCCTCTCTGTCAAGGATGTGAACATCTTCATCCCTGAAAGAGTGACCACTGGTTTGCAGATGAGTGTAGACCGCAGAATCCCGGCCTGATGATGTTGATCTTCTGTGCTGGTCCATCCTTTTGGCCAGTGGCTGTTTAGTTTCCTCGATGTAAGACTGATCACAGCCCTCCTGACACAATACTCTGTGCCGGGGGACTGGATCTTTGGGATGGACCAGTCTTTACCGTAATGTATTTTAATGCTTGAAAGCTACTGGGACATCATGTTTAAAAATAAACGTCTCAGTTTATAAAATTTCATTAGGTTTTATTAGATTGAAACTGATATTTTTGATGGATGAATACAGAAAACATACCAAGAGAGTCAGTAAATAATGCTACATCAGGTCCAAACACAAACTAGGCCCATATTTACCAAATGGAGAAGGGGAAAATGTATTTTAACCTTATATCAGTAAATTTACAAAACGCTGAACTTCTCATTAAAAAAAGTATGTCTGAGCTCTTCTTTATGCTTTATTCAAAACTTTTCTCTATGTCAAAAGGGACATTTGGCTCAGGAATTGAAACAAGAATAAACTCCTTCGTATCTTTACGAACAGAAGAGAATTTGACTGAATTGTTCCTGGTGGCGCACATTTTACTCACAAACCAAAGTGTGATCTGACCGACTGGAGAGTTCATGTTGACCATGAGGCTGTTTAACTTCAACACCTGCCTGAAGACAAAATACACAAGTTTCCAGTTAGTCACAGTTTCTACTGTGTCAGTTTAATTTCTGTGTTTCACTTTTCTTGTTTACCTTTTCCGAGGCTTTGTCCTTCGGCAGAACTGGAATCTCAAGTCGAGGTGTTTGCACCTTATAGGCGCACCTTTGCTTCTCTCCAGTCACACCCTTTGACATGAAAAGATTGACAGTTGTAGACACATTTGTTTTGTTAATCTCACCCGGAATGACGTTCATGCACAGGGGGGAGTTTTCCGTTCCACATATTAACGACGGCACTACGGTATCACTTTTAGCAGAAGGGTTTTGAAATTCTCCCTGGCAGTGAGCGCTGCTAGGAGCGGGCTGATGCTCAGTGTTTACAGCAACAGTGTCAGGTTTGTGTGAGTTAACTAAAATAGCTCTGCTAACTGGAAAACTCAGGCAAGGCGGGCAAGATTTCTTTCATTTCTCCAAATCAGACATCTTTCTTGAAAAGATGTAAAAGAAAAACAAAGACTAGTTTTATTTCTACCCATTATGATGACTAGGTAAGTGGTCAAAATATATAAAGTAAATATCTTGGCGTAATACAACTTTACCAGTTTGACTTGTGGAAGTACTATTATAAGCCATTTAAAGCGTGTCCACACTCCACTACTAGTAAATTACAATCCAGACAAGTATGTTTGGTTTTTATTTAATTCAGCCGTCATCCCATTGTTTCCTCTGAAAAATAAAAGGCTTAAACCAGTCTGCCTCTTTGTTGACAAACCAAAAAAGAAAAGCCGAAGGGAATTTTCCATTTTGATTTGAATATGATCACTTTCATAGATTATCAATGTTGTCTTGATTTGCAATGGAAATACTATATGTAAACTTAGAAACAAAGCTTTATTGTTTTGAGAATTGTTTTTATATAGAATAGAATTCAACTTTATTGTCATGGCACATGCCACAAGTACAAAGCAACGAAATGCAGTTTGCATCCATCCAGAAGTGCTTAGCAAAATAAATAAATTGGTATATATTATATAATTATATTACTCAGATATTAAAGTATAAACATAAATATTAAATAGTACAAGACATAATTGGCTTCATATATGCACTTAACAAGTAAAAAAAAAAATCTGTTTTTCTGTTGGATTATATTTTGACTGCAATGAGGCTAATGTTCTTTTTAGCTTCATCATCTTCACTGCATAAATAGCAAATGCTCACATGTTCTGACCAGCTAATGAGCTCATGCAATCGCATGAAGCAAAGTGACAGCTGCAGCAGATATTAATAGCTTGGATCTTCTTGTCTTTGTTTCTGTGCTGCCATCAAGTGGCAGATGTAAACATGACTCTTCGAGATTTGCACAGTCTGCCCAATTTTTGGCTGTAATTTTGTGTCTTCTGCACTCTCATCCCTGCCTCCTTTTTATTTGTTCTTACAGCGTGAATGCATTTCTGTCCACGTGGGCCAGGCAGGTGTTCAGATGGGAAACACCTGCTGGGAGCTCTACTGTCTGGAGCACGGCATCCAGCCCGACGGCCAGATGCCGAGCCGAAAGCCCATAGGCGGCCATGATGACTCCTTCACCACGTTTTTTAGTGAGACTGGGGCTGGGAAATATGTCCCAAGAGCCATCTTTGTCGATCTGGAGCCCACTGTCATTGGTTAGTTCAAACAGATGAAGATGCATCTTTGTGATTCGAAGGGGTGTAATGGTATTAATTCAGATTTTCAAATGATATTAGGCACTCTGGCTTAATCGAACTAAAACGTTTTCCTCTAATTAAAATGACTTGTATTTTTTTTTAATCTACTAGATGAGGTGAGGACAGGAATATACCGCCAGCTCTTTCATCCTGAACAACTGATCTCAGGAAAGGAGGATGCAGCTAACAACTATGCCCGAGGGCACTATACCATCGGCAGAGAGATAATTGACTCTGTCCTGGACAGAATTCGGAAATTGGTAAGGAACTATCAAGGTAATCTGTGTAGTTGCTCATTATGAGCTCATGCTTTAAAAGCATACACGAACATATACAGGCAAGCAAAGCACATTCTGCATAATTTCATACCACAACTCAAGCTCACACAAATTTTGCATTCAAATCTAACTCAATAAGTCAGTTTTTTCTTATAGTCCTTTCACATAATGCTGACTGCACCGTAGATTTGCAACAGTGTTTGTAGATGGATAAGCCAATAGGCTCCTTTCTTGATGACGGTAAGGATGGGTCAGATGTTTAAAGAATATGCTGTCCATTATAAGCTTCATACATTTATTTAACAGAACGTCATATAAAACCACACTTTGAAAAGAATATTTACTTTCACAGAAGGCTTTTCTTTGTCAATGTTTTAATTTTCTTTTTGCTTCTGCAGTCAGACCAGTGTACTGGTCTCCAAGGATTCTTGGTCTTCCACTCCTTTGGTGGAGGCACTGGTTCTGGTTTTACCTCCCTCCTCATGGAGAGACTCTCAGTTGATTATGGTAAAAAATCCAAGCTCGAGTTTGCCATCTATCCAGCTCCTCAAGTTTCCACAGCAGTTGTGGAGCCTTACAACTCCATCCTGACCACCCACACCACCTTGGAGCACTCTGACTGTGCCTTCATGGTGGACAACGAAGCCATCTACGACATCTGCCGTAGGAACCTTGACATTGAGAGGCCATCCTATACCAATCTCAATCGCCTTATCAGCCAGATAGTCTCATCCATCACAGCTTCACTTCGCTTTGATGGAGCTCTGAATGTTGACTTGACAGAGTTCCAGACCAACTTGGTGCCCTATCCCCGTATCCACTTCCCTCTGGCCACCTATGCCCCGGTCATCTCTGCTGAGAAAGCCTACCATGAGCAGCTGTCTGTGGCTGA